GGATGAGGAGGGAAGGCTTTTGGAAAATGGTAGGAGTGTAGACACTAGTCTGGACTAATGAGAAAGTGAACATGCAGCAATGAAAGATTATTACAGGATTATGGATTCAACATGTCTGGCTAGATAAGGTGGTGGGTCACAGGCAATCAGAGATGAGTCATCAAATACAGCCTCTCTGGCTGTGGGAAATGGAAGCCCTTCTCCACTGTTGGTGGGAGTGCAGACTGGTGCAACCACTATGGAAATCAATGTGGAGATTTCTCAAAAATCTAGGCTTGGAAGGCCTGCTCAAGCCACCTGTTCCTTTCCTAGGTATATTCCCAAAAGAGCTGAAGTCATACCGTAACAATATATGTGCACCCATGTTTATCACAAGAAAATTAGTCCTAGCCAGAGCTTGGAAACAACCTAAATGCCCATCAACTGAGGAATGGATAAAAATGGTATTTTTACTCGATGGAATATTATTCAGCTATAAAAAAGATAAACTCAAGGCTTTTGTAGATAAACAGATGCAAGCAGAGACAATTTGGGAAGTGAAACAAATCATCCAAAAGTGCAAATATATTATCTTGTTAGTAGGAGATCCAGAAAGAACAATTAAAATCTGAAAGGTACAACAGATACTGTGAAAGGAACAGGAGTTTTTCAATTGGAAGGAAAAACTTGGATGAAGAAAAGTACAAGTGAAAGAAGGGTAAAAGATATATTTATGCATCCTGCCGACTTCCACTGGTCTTTTCAAACAGCAGTTACTGCTTATATTTTTTTCTTTTAATTCTTTTTTATTATTTGAATTTGTTACAACTTTTTGTCATTTGGGGATTTTTTTATAGTTTTTGTATTCATTATTTTTTAAACCAACCTTGTACATTTATATCTGGAGACCTAAACAACTAATTTGAAGATAGAGTCATGCACTGTAGCAACCATTGTTGAATTCCTATTACTTTGTTTAGAGAAATTTTGTATCATTTCTAATGCTGTGTTCTTCTATAACTATTTTGTTCTTTGAAAAATAATACAGCCCCTCTGAAATGGGAGAAGCAACTATACCAGAAATAGGAAAAGAGTATCACAGATGATCTGTCTGAATCAACAATTATCTGCATCATCAGACAAGAAAAAGCAAGCGGTACGACTGCACTCCCGTGCCGCCCCAGGATCCTCCGTAGTGCGGACAGCACAACCAGCCTGCTGGGAATCAGCGCTGCAGTGACCAGACTCCTGGGAGAGGCTCTTCCTATGTACTTTCTCCCATCTAGAAGGAAATAAACTGCAGGTAGGAATCAAGGGAAGTGACAATGAAGGTAAAGGGGGAAAGAATGGCCTCTTCCCCCATCATCCTCCCAAATACCCCAAACACTGGAGAACAGTATTCTGGTGGCAACTGTTCCACCACTCACCACTGGCATGGAAGATGAGAGAGAGAGAGAGAGAGAGAGAGAGAGAGAGAGAGAGAGAGAGAGAGAGAGAGAGAGCTCACTGGCACAGATCCAAAAATCACATCCTGGAGACTCTTGGGAGGAATATGATCTAACAGTCAATCCAGATTGGGCACTTCCATGTCATTTCCACAAAGACTAGGAGAGCTAAATTAGCCAGAAATCCTAAAGGGCAATCTCCATTAGCAGCAGCAATCACCAGAGATAAATTTAATGATGTATCTGAGAGAAGACAGAAACACAAAAAGATACCAGAAGAGAAAGAGTATGTAATGTGATAAGTAAATAGGGTGAGTAAACAATAAGGAAAATATTTAAAAGGAAATAATTGTGGAAGGACAGGAAGGTGGCTGGGTGGTGTTCAAGCCAGTTAATGCCATACTGTATGTGTAGACTCAGTCTGGTTTCATCAGAGAGAATGAAGTGCAGTAAGGAAATGAACTTAGAGAAAATTCTTGAGTTGTGGGGAACGGCACACGGGTGGAAGGCTGTTTAGAGTAAGATCATCAGAGCCCCTCCCTGACTGGGAGTAATCAGCAGAAGAATGGCCGCTGAGCCAAGCTGCAGGGTAGGTTAAGTGGGCAAAGAGTTACAGCTCCTCAGTAGGACACTGCTGAGAGATATATTCTCTCTTCTGCAGTTCCAGAAGAAAGAAAATGTTCTAACTCTTTACTTCAAGAGCAGAACAAGAAGGGAATTGTGGGGGGCCTGGCCCTAGCTCAGTTCTTTAAATGGCTGCTTCGACAAAGCAGTCAGGCTCATGTTGCTGTGGTTCGATCCCCACAACTCCAGCCAGCCAAACCTGCTCTGAAGGCATTCGGAGCCAAAAAAAAAAAAAAAAGGGGGGGGAAATTGTGTAAATGTTACATGAGTCTCTCTAGACTGCAAAGGAAACTGGAGATTCATGCTGACACATTTAAGATCAAACTGGTGGCATATTTAAGAGTATTCTCTTGCTACACTCATTCCACACAAACAGACATGAAGTGGATCAAACTGGACTTGACCAGGCCTAGCTATGAACAGGCCTCCACCTAGGGAGAGCTTTTAATGACAAACAAATGAAATCCGTTCACTGTCACTAACCACTAGGGATAGAATAGAACCACAATGAGATTCAACTTCTTAGTTCCTAGAATGACTATACCAGCCTGGGCAGATAGCTCATCAGCCTAAAAATATCTGCTCAATAATCACAAGAAGTTTGTTTCATCTCAGATAGTGCATGCCAAGCTAGCCCTGCACCATGCTGGCCACTGAAACCAGGCAAGATGGTGGACACCTGTAATCTCAGAACTGGGGAGGCTGAGACAGGAGGATCACTATGAGTCCAAGCTGTGTAGTTAGACCCTATACCAAATCAATCAACTGATTAATCAATCTTTTTTAAAAAAAATACTGGTATATTCAAGTGTTGCTAAGAATTGGGAGATCTCTGGTTTTTCCTAACTGCCAGTGCAATAGTAAAAATGTCCAATCTGGAAACTATTTTTGTGTTTCCTTAAATAATTAAGCAAGTGTTTGTCACACACCACAGCAACTCTCCCTTGGTATTTATGTAAGAGATTGAAAACTTAGACTTACTTGAAAATGTTGAACTTCAAACACTTGCAGTTGAAAACAAACCAAAACTCTTCTTTCTTGTAAATAATGGAATAAAACTTAGTGCAATGGAACACCAATGAAAACCCCTCTTTAGAAAATATTAGCAAACTCTTTATACATGTCAGATGGTGGACAGACCTTGAGTACATCATAACTCAAAAGATAACAAAAATACTGGATTTCATAATGTACTCTATATGTAACATTCTTAAAAATGATAAGATTATGGATCTAAATACTTAGTATGTGTTTCCTAGAGTAAGAGAAGTGTGATGTGTGTGTGTAAATATAGGGCAAACACATCAGAAAGACTCAGAAGTAGTTGCAGCTCTCATGAGGAAGACTGATCAGAACAAGAATGATAAAGTGGAACATATTTATAGAGGAGAGAAATGAGGCCTCTTCTAGGACCATTGTGATGGTAGGGCTGGTAAGCTACCAGTAGATCTAATGTGATTGAAGGCAGAAGCACTTTTTACATCTCCAGATTTTCAATTATACTACAAAATCATGATTGTTTAAAAAAACAGCATGGGGCTGGGCATGGGGGCACATGCTTGCAATCCCAGCACTTGCAGGAGGATCATGAGAATTTAAGGCCAGCCAAGACAACATAGTGAGTTCAAAGCTAGGCAGAACTACATAGCAAGA